GCCCAGGGCCCTTTAGAGACCGTGGGCCCCTGGGCAGTTGCCCAATTGCCCATATGGTTAATCCGGCCTTGGCTCCAGAGAATGTGCAGCAGATGCGGGAATGGTTGGAGCTGGCTCACCAAATCGCTAGAGGAGCCCTGGGGGACTCAGTCACACGTGCAAAGAGACAGTATGACAAGAACTGCTTCCACACACAGTATAAAGTTGGAGACCCTGTGTGGTATCTCATTAAAGGGACACGTCATGTCAAGAACAAAGTCAAAAAGTTCCTCCCATCCTATGAAGGCCCATTCTTCGTCCTAGGTCAACTAGATGACCTAMTTTACCGGATACAAAAGAACCCAAGGTCCAAGGTGAAAGTCCTTCACCATGACCAGCTAAAGCACTACCGCAGCCGAGAGCCTCTGGACAACACATGGGTCCTGGACCAAAGTCAACACTGGGAACCTACCGAGGTTCCACCACCAACKTTAGAGGAGGACTCTGCAGACTGTGACCTGGATCTGCAGGGTTTGTTCTCGGATGCAATCAGTGGGGGRGCTGACTGTTCCCTGCTGTCTACCTCAACTGCAAAGGATCCCCATCCGGGAGTGTTTGTCCCATCCTCCCCTTCCCATGTCAGCCATGAGGATGGTGGGGGTGAGGTGGGATATTCACCTTCTRGGAGCCCGCRGTTTCGACGATCTAGGCGCRGGCGTAGAGCACCAGACCGATACGGCACATGGATAGTCCCAAGTAGGACCATAGACTCAACTTAAGGTTCCAGCTGTTCTAGTGTCCTGCGGAGTTAGCAAYAACTGTTCAACAAGGCAGCATATGACTGTTTCCTTTATTACTGTTCCGTTGTTCGAACTGCAAAGAAAATTCAGCTGAAAAGCAAATGGTTTATTTCCAAGAACATGTTCTGCTGTATGTTTTTTATACCTGATGGAGTTCAGTTAGTYTCCTGCCCGGTCGTCATAGATGCTGCTGAGTCATTTCTTACGTCCTCTTGCATGCAAAGTCCAATTTTACACATGTAYGTACTCCTTAAATGAGCTAATTATATCACTGGGACATGTGGTTCGATGCTGTACCTCACCCATGTGAGGATGATTGACACAGTTATCTCTTGTTAGCTATAGGGATTATGTATCAGTTTTGTGCATTGTAAGGCTGGAGTGGAATTATTGCTTAATTGCCATCCAGAGTGGGGGTAGTGTTGCGGAAAGTGCCTCCACTGTATGTGATGCTTAGCTTAGTGAGTTGTGTGGGTGCAAGAGATGTGTGGCAGTCGTTCTCCGGTCTGAAGGGGGGCGCTGCATACTAAAAAAAAGAACTCCTGCGTCCTTGAGGAACGAGAGAGAGACGGTGTGTGTGTGAGGCGGTGTGAGTGTGTAGATGACGACCGGAGCAGCGGCTGTAAGAAAAGTCTGTGCAGCTTTCACCTGTTAGCT